AAAAAAAAAAAAAAAAAAAAAAGCGATTGAGTAGGGGATAAAGAACTAAAGAAGTATGAAGGTATATTAAACCACACCTTTAACTTACAAATGAGACTATTGTTTTGGTGCAAAATAGAAAACCACAAAAAAAAAAAAAAAAGGATGAAAATGGACATCCTTTTTCGCGTTCTGATTCGTAAATTTTATTTCTTTGGTGCTCCAATATTCTGCATGGATAAAATATAGCAATAAAAAAATCGATAAACCACGCATAAAACTGCAAAATCCACCGAGACATTCGCGGATTGTAAGAACAAAAATGTTACTCTAGAGTCATGTTTGTTCAGAATATAGAAATGAAAAATAGAACTAGTTTGTTATCTTCTGGTTTACCTTAGTTTTCTTGTGCTTCTTAATGCCATTGGCATCTTCAACTCCATCATGCTTCCTTTTCTGGATAAAACAAACCGATGCATATTGTCCAGTAAATTAATCATAATGTAGAGTTCTATAGAAGAACTGCATCAAATTTGTAATCTCAATGTATTCCCTTTTGATTTTTCTTTTGGTTCATATTCAAGCAATGAAAGATACGAAAGTCTTTAATAATCAGTAAATCTGTACTATATTCCCAGTCAGGCAGTGAACAAATAAAAATGCAATATCTCGTATGGCTCGACTAGCTTTTACATCTCTAAAAGCAGTCAGAGGGATATCATACGAATAAAAATACCTGATCCTTTTTCTCTCTCTTTTTCTCCTTTTCCTCTTTACTCCGGTGTTTGTGTTTTTTTCTATCTTTATCCTTTTCCCTGTCTTTGTTCTTGTGCTTCTTATGCTTGTCTTTTGGTTTGGACTCGATTTTAGGTTTCACAGCAACAGTAGGAATTCCCTTCTCAGACTAAAAGAACAACCAAAAAGATGCCATCAGACTGAAAGTCCTCACTCCTAATCCTTACCACAAAATTTGGCAAAATCATTATTATATCTGTGACATTAATCTGCTCAGGTCCTAATTCTGATACCCATGACGATTGATGCCAATGGTTGCTTCAGAAAAATAATAAAAAATAAATAAAAAGCTACAGCAAAGAATTATAGAGACTAAAATTTGAATCTCTCAGATGCTGAATCTTCCACTCTAATGTTCTGACGCATTTTTTTGCTATTTGCAATTAACTCAAAGCGTAAAAACAAAAAAATGTTGGTAGTTCAACACAGTCTACACAGATGCCAAGACTCAATGAAAAGCCTTAAAAATGGACTAATACTTACAGAAGGTAAGTCAACAGACGATGATTCTCGGATGTGAAAGGCTTCACCAAGCACGTCCAATCTGAACGGTTGAATACGTGAATTAGTATCTCTTTGGGGCGTACTCTGAACGAGTTGACCCAACTGCATTCCTTCCCCTTTCCTAATATCTGTGTCCCCAACTACATTGTGAAGGTAATGCGTGTCCAGAACCGAGACAGGACGAGCTTTCTTGCAGAAAAACTCGTGGAAAGGCAATAATTTGTAGTGGCTTATAAGATCAAGACCGCCTGTAAGCTCTCTCGGACCTAAATTCAAGACCAAGTCCATAATATTTTATATTTTCGAGTGATATGTAAGCTAACAAATCAATCAAACCAAGATTCATGCCTTAACAGTATAATAACTCTGAAATACAGCTGAGGAGAATTTTCATGCAACCAGAAACACTCGATACTTTCATGTTAAAAACAGAACCAACCAAGATTTTGCTTAAATTATCCCCCTTCCAGTTCTAGAACACAACGATAATATATTAGAGTTTCAGGTGATATGTAAGCTAATAACATCAATCAATTAAACCAAGATTCGTGCCTTAACAGTGCAATAACTCTGAAATACAGCTGAGGAGAATTTTCACGCAACCATAAACACTCAATACTTTCATGTTAAGAACATAACCAACCAAGATTTTGCTTAAATTATCCCCCCTTTCAGTTCTAGAACACTAAAATTTAGCAGACAGCGAAAATCGATCCAATTGACCAAACAATATCAATTCACAATTAAGAACGAATTATAAAGCTCGCTCGGCGAGTTCTAATTCAAATTCTTAAATTGGCTCAGTTCTTGCATAAACTATCGAAAACACACTACAGCTAAAAACAGAGAGCATGAAATAAAGGCATTCCCAATTCAAAACATATTTTCACAATGCTAGCTTTAGAGAAGACATAAAACGTGTAAGAACTTCAAAATCTAACAGTTCGTTTCGAACCTCTTCCGAATTTATTAATGCCACTCTCCATAAATCAACAGCTGATGGAAAACAAGAGCATTGGTTACCTGAGTTCAACCAACACTCCGATCAATATATATATATATATATAAATCGACCGATCAAAACAAGAGCAAATAATTATCTGGAAAATCGATATTAATCAGTAAATATCAGCAAAAACATGGCAACAAATTCCGAAAAAAAAAATAAAAAAAAAAAACAGTCGATTCAATATTATGATAATTGGGAATCACGCAGATAAATTGTTGAAAGATTATAAAAAATTGTGCGCCTTCGTATATGAATTCGAGTAATTTCACCGAATTAAGGACGAATAAACGAGCAAGTTATAAAGACAAAAATAAAATCAGATAAACACACTTTGGAATGTTGGGTTGATCGCCGGGAACTTCTCGCCGCCGCCGCCGCCGCCGCCGCCGGTTTTTGTGCGATTTTGTGATTTCGACCTTCGACCGAAACTATCTCAGGGTCCACGGTTGGAATTAATTCCTATTTTTTTCACCCCCAATTTAGGTATACTATACATTTTTATAAAAGTTTTATGAATGATTTATTTTGTGAAATAAAATATGATGCTTATAACTATATTTTGATGTTCTATTTTATTTTTTCTAGATCTGGGTATGTAACGGTTTAACTTGTAATGGTACAATACGTGTCTTAAAATTATTATATTTAATAAATAAATGAATAAGTAAAATCAAAATATTTAAATATTTAAATATTCCTTCAATAATATCTTAATATGTATTAATTTATATTTATATATATAAGATGATGTCAAAACGAATATTCTTCTGATATATTATATATGAAAAAATTGTTAATAAATAAAATTTTGTTAGTATTTAAAATATATTTGTAATTTCAATTGAAACATTGTTTTAAATTTTAAATTTCTCATAAACATAAATAAAAGTCTTAATGTAAATACCAAAACACCAGAATTTAGCATAGGATTATGACACAACCAAAGGCGACACATAAATTACGTTTAATACGAAGCACCAAAAGTTGTCACGACTATGAAGCACCAAAAGTTGTCACGACTCGACACATAGGCTTGAAAAAATCTACAGTGTTTGTGAATTATGTAGCACCAAAAGTAGATACATAAAACTCTAAAGCACACAAAATTGATACATAATCTTGGATTACTCTACATTCATATATCGAGACGATACTTATTAACTTGTTGTATTTAAGAGATGACTACCATCCCATCACAAAATCATTACAACCTCTTAAAAAACTCAATTACATCGATCCTAAGCGAAGATGCTCCGGGTGAGCGAACGACTCCGGTGGGTCATATCGGTATGATCCATAATCTACTGTTAAAACAAACAAATATAAAATATAAAGATTCTGTGACATGAGTGTAGTCATTTCCCCTTCTTGAAGTTGGATGTACATTTCTACATTTAAATTGTTTGATTTTTCTTTTTCTTAGGGAGGATACTTATTATCAAATTTAGATGTACCTTTTCTACTTTTAAATTGTTTGATATTTCTATTTCTTACTTATTTGCCATCGTTTTTTTTTTTTTTTTTT